CACCTGATCGACCGGCCCAGATCCGCGCTGACCTCGAGGCCCAACTTGGCAGTGCCATTTGCGAGACGGATCTCCTCTCCCCGGCCGAAGTAGCGATTCGCCCCGTCGGCTCGATCCCCAGAGCGGCGGCGTAGGACTGCTCCAATGCGCGTGCCCACGCACCGAGCTTCGCCCCGAGCACGTCGGATCCGTTCTGTTCGAATTTGCACGCGGCCGTCTGCCGGGCGCAATCTGGAGGCGCCCGCCATGCTCGACGTTCCCCTCGCGACAGCGCCTGCCACGCCCCCCCGCCGCGGCGTCGAAGATCTCCTCCGCGCTCCTCTGGGCGGATGGAACCCCCAGCTCCTCGCGGCCATCAACGACCTTACCGTCACCCAGGATGGACTCACCATCGCCGAAGACACCCCTCATGCCAGCCGGCCCGATGCTGCGCATCTCGGGCAGCTCCTCGCAGATGACTCGGAGATTCGTCTTCGGCTCGGACCCGCCCGCGCCATTACCGCGACGCGGGGGGGGGGGGGCTGCGCGGAAGGCGGGATCGAGGCCGGGCACTTCGAGCCCCCCGCGGCGCCCAATACTTCAGAAGACTCCGTTCTCTGCTTCTCCTCGGCCTTCTGCTACGCCGCTTGCCGCGCGGGTCGGCCTTGCGCTTCGGAGCGCCCGGCAAAGGGGGGGGGGCCGGCGCGTCGAGCACGCGCTGGGCGGCGACCGCCACGTCGCCTCGCAGACGCAGCCACACTCCGCGGCGATCGCCTGGGCCCACCTGGCCCGCGCCCACCCTCTCGAGCAGCAACACGCCGCGTAGTCGAGCACGCGGGCAAGGTCGCGGACGAACGCGCACGCCGCACCCTGCGGAGCCCCCACCGTCGCCCGCAGCACTCCGAGCCACCCAGCGTTCTTCAGCTCGCGCGGCTCAACACTCCAACCCCCCATCGCTGCCCATGGCCCACTGTGTTGTGGCATCGAATGATAGCTGCCAACCTCGCCATCCTCGCCTGGCTCTCGCTGCGCAATCCCGCCGGCGAGGCGGGGCGCATGCCCGCGATGAGCACAGACTGAACTTCCCATCGCCGTCTCCGCGCCGCCATGTCCTTGAAATCGGCGGGGCCTGCCGCCCATTCCGAGCCGAGCTGCCTCAGCCCGACCGACTGTCTCTTCTTGGCGATCAGGCGCCTCGGCGAGGTCCACGCGTAGTGAGCCCTGGCTGGCTGCCATGCCGACGCCTCCTGCAAGCTCGTTTCGCCTGCTTTCCTCTGCCGGCGATACGATCGCCTTCCAACCTCTCGCTTCCAAGTACCCCAGGATGTCGCGCGAGCCCTCCGCTCCGACGTGCGTCTCTGGGAAGAGCATGATGACAGCCTTGAGCAAGTCGATGTTTTTTGTTGAGCATCGGTCCCTGGGTGGAATAAATTACGCATGATGGCGCGGGCGTCACTCCATTTTCTCTCCCTGGCCTTTCACCCGCCCAGCCTCGACCGCCGCCGCCAGGTCGCGTTTCTCACGCCCCTTCTTGGCGCTGAGATAGGCTGCCGCGGGCTTAGCTAGTCGTCCTGCCGAACCCTTGTCCACCTGAGGCGCCCGCAGCTGAGGCCGACGCGCTGGCGCTGATGCTTCCTCCTTCCGCCGCCGAAGGGCGCTGATGCTGACGTTGCCGGGGCTAGCAAGGGTCCACGTCCACCGCCATCCTCTTCAGATGCGCTCAATGAACTCCTTCTCATACTGGCGCTGTTCCTTGGGTTTACCTACAGCCACTGCGAAGGCCTGCTTGGCGGCCAGATTGGCTGCCTGGCTGACTCCCACGAATTCCATATTCCTCATCTACAGTTCGGCCTTGTCCCCGTCGAAGATCTCGCTCGCAGTACATGTCGAAAAACCCTCCGAAGTCCACGTTCAGCTCCTGGTCCTCCGATAGCGCCCCAATTCGTAGGAAAGGCTTGGCCCCAAGAACGACTGCAGCCGCGTCGATGTAGCCTGAGCGCCTCCTTGACCTGGCCCCCTGCCTCCAAGACCTCCAATGACCGTTGCGCGAAATCCTTCTCGACCTGGTCAAACTCGTCACTCATGCCTTCTGATGCGCTACCACGGCCTTCGTCACCTCGTCCGCTGTTTGCTTTAAGCGCCGCACGAGAACCTGGTGCTTGTCCTGCTTGGGCAGGTTTGGGTGCACTCTCGGCGATGAGCTGCTCCAGCTTCCCCTTCTGGGTGTCGCCTGCTTCGGTTGCTGTTGATTTGGGGATATTGACGAAGTTGACCTCGCTGGTGCACTGCTCGTGGTCGGTGCGTTCAGCCCTAGAGCTTGGCCAACCCCCACCCCCTCCTGCACGAAGAAGCTCCGCCCCAAAAGCTCTGTCACCGCACTTGCCCGTGAACTTGTCTTCCGCCAGCCGATCCACGAAGAGCCAACTTCGTGGCTCTGACCATACGCCTTCTGTCCACTTCCTCATCCTCCTCCTCTTCTTCCTCCTCCTCCTGTCTGTCGGCATGGCCAGGTATGGACCCACGACTGGCGCCACCACCTGCTGCGCCCGAAGCAGCCAGCCACCACTGTAGCAGCTGTTGCCGCCGCCGCGTGGAGGAGCCATGGCGCGGCACGGGTGAATGTGGAAAAGGCGAGACAGCGCCTGCGCTGGTAACTTTGGATGACTGGCCTCAGGCGTAAGAGCGGTGCTACCGCTCGGCAGGGTCAGAGGACTTGCGGCCACCATCGGCCTTGAGGCAACATGGTTACGGCTGATGGCGATGATGGTGGTGATGGCGGTGCTGATGATGCTGATGGTGATGGTGATGGCAGTAATGAATTTGAAGGTGAAGATGAAGATGAAGATGAAGAGGATGAGAATGATGGGGCTGGAGGTGAAGATGAAGATGAAGATGAAGATGAAAATCAAGATGCAGGTGCAGATGGAGATGGTTGTGATGATGGAGATGGTGATGATGATGATGAAGATGATGATGATGATGGTGATGGTGATGATGATGATGATGATGATGATGATGATGATGCGTATGATGATGATGTTGATGATGGTGGTGATGAAGATCATGGTCATAGTGGTAATGATGATGATGTTGATGGTGGTAGTGATGAGAATGTTGATGATGAGTAGGATGCTGATGATAACGATGATGATGATGATGGTGGAGGTGGTGGTGGTGGTGGTGCTGAATGGTGCTGACGATGATGACGATGACGATGAGAATGAAGATGCTAATGATGCTGATGATGATGCGGATGCTGCTGATGATGATGAGTGCGATGATGATGATTGTGATGACGACGATGATGATGGCGTTGCTGATGATGATGATGATGGTGATTACAATGATGATGTTAGGAATGAGGAATGAGTACGAATGGTGGTGGTGGTGATAACGATTAAGATGAAGATGATGGTGACGACGAGTATGCTCATGATAATGATGAGAAGGGTGATAATGACGACGACGACGATGGTGATGATGATGATGATGATGATAAGTGGTGGTGATGATGACGACGCTGCTGATGCTGATGGTGGTGATGACGATACTATTGATGATGGGAATGATGATGATGGTGATGATGATGATGATGCTGATGATGCTGATGCTGATGATGATGGTGACGACGATGGTGATAATGAGGAGGCGGAGCGGACGAAAGGAGGCGGGGGAGCGGCGGGAGCAAGGGGAGGGCAAAAGGTGAGTGGAGGGCAGGAGCAGCGGGAGAGGGTGGAACGGGAGGACGACGGCAGGAGGTCCAGGAAGGAGGAGTCGCCTCCTCCTGCTCCTCATTATCATCATGGTCGTCACCACCATCATCATCAGCATCATCACCACCGCCATCATTCATCATCACCATCACCACCATCCTCACCACCACCATCATCATCATCATCATCATCACCACCATCATCATCATCATCATCATCATCATCATCATCATCATCGTCATCATCATCATCATCATCATCATCATCATCATCATCATCATCATCATCATCATCATCATCATCATTATCAGCATCATCATCATCAGCAGCAGCATCATCCTCATCCTCATCATCCTCATCCTCCTCCTTCTACTCCTCATCATCATCGTCGTCAGCGTCTTCGTCATTATCATCATCGTCGTCATCGTCGTCATCATCCGTAGCAGCATCATCATCATCATCGCCGTCATCATCATCATCATCATCATCATCAGCATCAGCATCATCATCATCATCATCATCAGCATCATCATCATCATCATCATCATCATCATCATCATCATCATCATCATCATCATCATCGTAATCAACATTGTCATCATAATTCTCATACTCATCCTCATCATTCTCATCATTATCAGCAGTAGCATCAGGATCAGCATCCTCATCATCAGTATCATCATCAGCAGCATCATCATCAGAATCATCAGCAGCAGGATCAGCATCAGCATCAGCATCAGCATCATCATAGTCATCATAATGATCCGAATCATCGTCGTCGTCATCAGCATCGTCATTGTCATCATTTCACTCCCTTATCCTAGTCTACTATCCTCCTTCTCTTTCTCCTGCCTCCTCCTCATCCTCCTCCTCCAACCTCCTCCTCCTCCTCCTCCTCCTCCTCCTCCTCCTCCTCCTTTTCCTCCTCCCTCTCCTCCTCCCCGTCCCCGTCTCCTCCTGATCCTGCTCCCACTGGGGGAGGACGGGGAGAGCAAAGGCGAGGAGGAGGGCGAGGGGGGAGCAGAAGGAGGCAGGCGGACCGCAGCAAGAGAAGGCGGGATGCGGAGGACGAGCACGAGGACGGAGACGAAGACAGGGACGAAGACGGATGCAAGGAAGAACGGGGACGAGGACAAGGACGAAGACGAGGTCGAGGACGAGGACGAGGACGAGCACGAGGACGAGGACGAGCACGAGGACAAGATGGCCAGAACAGCGAAGAGGGCGAGAAGGACCACGACGACGACGGCGACCCGCGCCTCGTGGGAGGGGCTGGGCCAGCGGGAGGCGCAGAGCTCAGGCCGCGACTGCCGAACGCGCATGCCACCGAGCGTACCGCGCGCCTGGGGCCACTGGGGGTGGGGGGGGGAAGAGGACCGATGGATGGTGGAGGGGGACGGAAGAGGATGGAGGAGGATGGGGGGAGGAGGAGGAGGAAGAGGATAGGAGGAGGAGGAGGAGGAGGAGGAGGAGGGGGAGGAGGAGGAGGAGGGGGAGGAGGAGGAGGAGGAGGAGGAGGAGGAGGAGGAGGAGGCGGAAGAGGATGGGAGAAGGATGGGAGGAGGATGATGGAAGGTGACAGAGAAGGGGGAGGAAGAGGAGGAGGAGGAGGAGGAGGAGGAGGAGGAGAACGAGGACGAGGACGAGGAGGAGGAGGCGGAGCGTGCCGCGCGCCCGGGGCCGCCTGGGTGGTCTTTTCGGGAGCGGAACGAATGCAGGCGGTGCTGCCAAAGGTTTCTTTTCCCTCACCATCATCACCATCCCCGTCGTTTTTTATCGTCATGATTATGACCACCGCCCTCATCCCCCCCCCTCGTCATCATCACCACCATCACCATCAACAGAATCAGCACCATCACAAGCACCACCATCACCACCACTACCACCACCATCCTCATCATCATCAGCAGCATCATCATCGCCATCGTCATCATCATCGTCATCATCAGCATCAACATCAACATCATCATGAGCATCATCATCATCATCATCATCATCATCATCATCATCATCATCATCATCATCATCATCAGCATCATCATCATCAGCAACACCATCATCATTGCCGTTTTTCTTTCCCGCAGAATTCCAAGCGGGCCGCCGCCGCCGAGGTCCCCTCATCTGACGCAATGGCCTCCGCGCCGAAGACCTTCATGGGTAAAGGGCCCGTGCGACCGACGGCACATTGAGGTAGTCAGTGTTTCGCCGAATCATCACGAAATCTGGTAAAGGCTTCATGAGGTTAACCAGTTCTTGATGTTATTGATCATCGTGTTCGTGCTCATCTTGCTCGAGGAAAGTTGTGAGATCACGGCGCGTTGACGACGCACTTCTGGCCATGGCTGTATGTCCGCTAAGCGATATTGATAACAAAAAGGTTTGTGTGAACAAGCAAGCCCGCTGGCTGGGAGAGGGCAATGCCGCGCGCGAGAGCGGACACATTTTTGATACACAAGCAGCTGCAGATAAGTCTCACTCTGCAGGATGCCCCGCCAACCTTCAGTTGAAGGGAATTGGCGGGGGAAGAAAATACAGCGAGGGGAGCGTTAGGAATAACTCCCCCCGCGGCCTCCCGGCGCGGCATTGCCGCGCGCGGGTGGATGTCAGTAACTTGACTAACGTCTCGAGCAAGTGGTGGGACGCACCAGACAGTTTCCGCACGTCCCGAGAGCCAAGGGCAGACTTCACCCCTCCCCAAAGATTCTAGCGTTCTCGCCTTCTCGATTTCCCGACTCCTCACGGCGGCCCAAGAGGCTCTCAAGATCCCCCCAGACGGCCCCACAGGCCTCCAAGAGGGCCCCTAAGCGGGCAAAGAGGGCCCCCACACGGCCCAAAAGACGGCCGCAGAGGCCTCCAACATAACCCAAAGGAGACCCTAGACAGCCGCAAGAAGAGCTCCAAAGGCGGCTCCCTAAGGCCCCTAAGAAGCCTCCACGAAGCTCCAAGAGGCCCCCCAGAGGCCCTAATCAAGCATCCAATGGAGCACCAAGAAGCCCTCAAAAGGCGCCCAAGACGCCCTCAGGAGCAACACGCCACAACTGCCAGTCATCCAAAGGGTCGGCGGTGTGGCGTAAGCTCAAGAATCAAATACACGGGTGGAAAGCAGACTATGTTCAAGATCCCGCCCCCGTCTGAAAGCAACACGAATAAGATACGGCCCCCTTTCAAAACAGAACTCTCGCTTAAGACTTCCTCCCAGCTTGTGCACCAAAGCTCAATCTCGCATGGATGGAGGGGGTGTTTCATGTTCAAAGGCTGCTCTCGTTTCGGCACCTTTGGATCCTTATTACAGCTACATGGGTGGATGGCGATTTTTCTTCTCCAAAAACCCGCACCGTTCCTTCGAGTACGTAGCGTAATGCCATGTGGTCCCTAACTGTCCGTAACAAATGAAGATTAAACATTCAGAAATGTATGCTAAAGCCCAGGCCCCCGATTCCCGCGAATGGTTCCGGGTGCTCTTGGGGCTTTCCGCTTAATTGTTCTGGGGCCGCCGAAAGCGCGGTTGGGGACCGATCCCCCTGATTGAACATTTTCGCCTTTTCGGTATGAAGATCGTCCCAAACAGCCCGGCAGTGTTCCAGCATCGCCAGAAGATGGGCCCGGAGGCCGCCGAAAGAGGCCCAAGGGGCTTCCAAGAAGGCCCTAAGAGAGGCCCTGAAGGGGTCAACAAACGCACGCCAGGAACCATCCCGCACAGGCAAGAAGGCCCCAAGATCCCCAAGGCCTGCACGGCCCTCAAGAGGCCTCCAAGCGAGCCTCCAAGAGAGCCCCAATAGAGCCCCAATAGAGCTCCAAGAGGCTCACATCCTTGAAACCCGCAGTATTCCCATCCATGTTTGCACTGCGCACTGCACCCCCAACCCAGACACGGTGGCCAGAAGGGCCGAAGGCCACTAGACACTGTTTGGCATGATGTGTGCGCTCGAGCATGAGATGGCTGTTGATGCAGATATAATAGGCACATGCGATACTTGGTCTAGGGCACATCCTGCGTCGTCTCTGAGCCTCGTAAGGTGCCCAAGGGCTCTGCAAGCCCATCGGGAGATCAAACATTCTCGTGGGTTACAAATTGGCAAGTCAGTTTCTTACTTTATTATCTGGCGTGCACACTGCATGGCGGGATCCGAAGCACATCACAACTTTAGTCCTTACATATCCTGATCTGGTGACAGGCACATGGGACCCTCACCCTTCCTGAGTTCGTTCGCTGTTGTAAGAAGGGTCGCTGGGCAGCGTTGCAGCATCAGTGGTGCGTGCTGGGCGTTCCGTAGTCCTCCTCCTCCTCCTTTTCCTCTTCTTCCTCCTCCTCATCCATTGCTTCTCCTTCTAAATAACTTCTCCCTGTCGTACCCCGAGGCCAGTTTTTAGCGCGGGCCCGGCGTTTCGCATGAGACTTCCTCACCATGTAGAACTCTGAAGCTTAAAAATTGCAAGAGCTTCACAGATTGAGGGCGAGTGGATTTCAACATGTGGCTCTCGCCTTAGCGCCGTGCACATTCGTCTTCTTAAAGATGTGCAGGGGTTTCACGGGTTGAGGACGAGCCGTTTTCAAAATGTGGCTCTCGCTTTAGCGCCGCGCACATTCGGTTAGAATATTTGCAAGAGTTTCACGGGTTGATGGCGAGTGGTTTCAAAGGCACTCGCTTCAGCGCCGAGCACATTCGTCTTAAATATTTGCCAGAGTTTCACGGATTTCCCATGATCAGCGTACCAGAAATGGTGTTCTGGAAGGACTCAGGCTGATTGGGCTGCACACATTAATTATGTTGATTCGCGGTGTCCAGGAATGGCGTTCTGGAACGACTCAGGATCGTCAAGACGCAACAGTCAGGTTGATCCGTGGCGTTCGAATCCCGAGAACAATGTTTTGGCATGCTTCAGGGTCTTCAAACAATTGCCTTCCAACGAGGCTGTTCCCTCACCGCTGTAGTGGCCTATGAAAAGGGAGCTTGGAGGGGGGGTAATTCCAACATCGTTGATGATTATTGGGTTTACACTGGTCCTCCTCCTCCTCCTCCTCCTCCTCCTCCTCCTACTGCTCCTCTACGCCCCGTTCTCCTCCTCTTCCTCATCCCCCTGCTCTGCGCACGTAGGGAGCCAGCGAGGGAGAGGGGGAAGGAGCAGGGGACGGAGATGGGGAGGGAGACGGGGAGGGCCTCAGCGCTCAGCGCACTGCCGCGGTAATCTGCCTGACTGGGCGCGGAAACTCTGGGCGAGGCTGGATCGTGGCTCGTACAGGCGCGTCAGAGCTGGCAGCAGCAGGGTGCTCGGAGTCAGCTGGGCCACCTGCTTGGCTTTTGCCGTGCACCCGAGAACCGCTGGTGCGCAACGTCTTGCGCAGTAGGGAGATGGGGAGGGAGAAGGGGCGGGGGACGGGAAATGGGAGGATGCGGAGAACGGGGGGTGGAGCAGGGCGAGGAGTGCGGCTGGCCGCGCGCACCTTGTTGAGGCTGTCCATCCCATTGCCGAGTTGCGAGTTGGCCGCGGCTGCCTGGAGAGCTGCCGTGACGCTGCTGCCGAAGTTGCTGCCAGTCCTCCTCCTACTCCTACTCTTCTGTGGATGCTGTGCGCGTGTCGGCCAGGGTGAAACCGTGGAGTGCCGCCAGCCCGTGGCGGCGCTGGTGCTCTCTCTCTCTCTCTCTCTCTTTTTCTCTCCTCCTCTTTCTCTTTCTCTTTCTCTTTCTCTTTCTCTCTCTCTCTCTCTCTCTCTCTCTTTCTCTCCCTCTCTTTAGCCAGGATTGGATGTCGTCTCGATTCGAAAACGAATCGCTGCTTGACGGCTTTGGGAGGTCTCGGGACCCGTCCTATTTCTCGCCCTCCTTCTTCGAGTTGCGCGCTCGTGAAGCTGTAGCCGATGCTATGGTTGCCGATGAGCAAGCACGTCAGTCCCACTTTGGAGGCGAGCGGGCAGGACCGATGTGCCTCAGGCCAGCCCGGGAGTTGTTGTCGTGTCACTCGGCTGCGTGGACGGCTCGCTGCCGCAGTCGCCTGAGAGGCATGACGGCCCACAGGCACCGGTGCCAGCAGCGACTCGCAGAGCGCTGCCAGGCCATCTCGTGTGTGTGTCTCCTGTGCAGCGAGAGCCTCGGGGATGCTGCTTCATACCGGTTTGGGTGCCCTGCGCGGGCCGCGTGGCGCAGGGACTGCCTGGGCACTGTCCTGGTGAACTTTTTCTTATTCGGCGCTTCGACATTGGGCGGAAGAAGGGGGGGTCTGGCTCCTGACCTCTGCTTAGTGCGACTGTTTGCAGGAGGGCGTTCATCATGTGGGAGGCTCCACCTGCTCGAAACAGGCGCCAAAAATAGCCAAGATCGACTCCAGGGGGATGGGGAAGGGGGTGTGGGGGACCGCGCCGATCGGCAAAACAATGAATAAAAAAACGATCACCTGGGCACTGTCCTGCTGCAGTTATCGCTTCAACCTCTCTCCCCACGGGCCCAGAAGAACTTTCTGCTCGCAGGGTCCTGCCCGACCCGGCGTGAAATGGTTGAGGACTCTGCCTGGCCGCCCCGAGGGCACCGTGCACAGGTTCGATGGGCCTGCGGAGGGGCTGATCATGGTGATGATAGGATCTGGGATTTAGAAAAACGGCCCTAGATTTAGAAAATCCGTTTTCGAATCCAGCAATCGGGTTTTTCTGGCGTTTACTGAATGATGTGTTGTCTTGTTTCGATTCGGCGGCACAATGTAATAAATCCGTTCCTCGCTTTAGCAAATCATCGCTTTTTGTAAATAGTTTGTGTTAAGAACGCGCGCTCATTCATTACCATGACCCATGTTAGCCGGTGATTATACTGGCTAACATAGGTCATGGCAGTGATGATGATTTACTAAAGCGAGAAGCGGATTTCTTAAATTGCGCCGCCTATTCAAACCAAGACATAACATCATTTAGTAAACGCAAAAGCTGGTTTACTAAGCTCAAAAACGGATGTTCTAAATCCAGGGCCGTTTTCCTAAATCAGATCCTTTCACTACCATGACCTGAGTGGCTCAGGCTCCGCTTTTGAGCCCCTATTGCCTCGGACTCGGGCCGCGGGACGGGCGGTGGTCGTGACACGGACGGGGCGCGGGAAGGCCCTTCGAGCGACCTTGGGGGGCGTGTGCCCCGCGGCGCGCTGCCCCCGACCAGGCTGCTTAGGTCGGGCATGTCCCCCATACGAGCAAATTTCGGCCGAAGAATGAACAATAGTCCGGAAATACTCAAACATAGTTTTGGAAAAAAATACGGGAATCGTCCCGAGACTATGTTTGACAATGTTTGACTATTCCTCCTGCAGAGGGACAAGCCCGACTTAAGATTACGCCACTGTCTCCCTCGTCTGCCACACTCTGGTCTCGCCCGGAATCAACCGTCACATCGACGACTCTGGTACGGCAGATCTGGCCCGCGATCCGTCTTCCACAATCCTCGGTCGCACCTGTGGCACTACGTGCACGATGGGCTGGACGGAGTCCTCATCCAAAAAGTGTCTGCTCAGCTCACTGCTCGGAGCGGGACGTGTTGGAAGGAAAACGGAGCCGCCTCCAGCTGCTGGGCAACCGAGCCGCGAACTCGTATACGAAGAATGGCGCTGAGATAGGTAGGCTCGCCCCGCGAGACCTCCTTGTGGTTAGGGGGTGCCATGAGATGGCCCGCATTGTTTCCCGTTTCGCGGCTGAGCAGGAGGCCCGGATTGGACATTCGTAGGTGTTTGACCACGTGAGCCTAGACTGGCTCAAGCTTCAAGCATGTGCCTTCTTGCGGCGGGGAGTGGCGGGACGGGCGGGGCAGAGCGGACAGGACTGGATAGGATATGAAGCGGCCCCTCATGGGCCCCAGCAGGCTGCGACCCAGTCGGAGGCCGCCCCTACTGCCGCGGTCTTGCGGCCTGAGCTGGCCCTTGGCCCGCTCGGAACAATTTGGATTTGGAGGTCGCGGTTTTCGACTCGAATGGGTTGGCTGCTGATTCGTGCTCGATGCTCTTCGTGCGGAGCGGTGTGCCAAATAGAAGGCCGCTAGGGTAGATCTGCTCTCGCGCCGGATTGTTTGCACGCGTGCTCCCCGGACCATGACAGACAATTGGCTCGCACATTGCGAGCAAAGGCAAAGGCTTCCTCGTCGAGAGGCCGAGTGTGATTTCGGAGGCATCGAGAGCATGGCTGGCATCAAAAATGGGGCTGGAGCCGCAGCCCGCCTTTGCACGGCCGCTTGCCGACGGTTTGAGGCCGACGGTTCCTGCTGGGACGAGGGTGGACTTGGCGAGGGGTTTGGCTTTGTTCGGTTTCCTGGATCGGGTTGCGGCCAAGGCTCTCGGAACCCGTGTTGTGAACCGCGGAAACCGTGCGACTCGCGCCGAACCAAAAATAAATTGAGTTTTAACCCTAGCCTGTGGGGCGTCCTTGGCACCAAATGGCGCGTTCTTTGAAACCGATGTGCCGCCTTAGGTTTTGGTACACGTTTGATTGCGATCGCTTGCCCAGCAGGTGCCAGACTCGCCCTCCACCTCCAGGAAAATGATAGGAAACTTGTTTACCATGGAGGCAACTAGAACTTGAGCCAAGCTGCGTCGGCCGACGCACGGTCAATCCTGTAACAATTCAAATCCCTGACAAAAAATACAGCTACACAAGCCAGGGATGGCAACATAAGAGCACGAGGCCTGCTCACCCAGTCGGAACGACATAATGTCACACCGCCCTCGGCTGATAAGCCAAAAATGAAACGATCGGTATATAAAAGGCACAAACGACTAGGTAAAAGAAGAGTTCGACACCAGCATTCACCGCATCGAAACCAGGAGCCCACCCTAGCAAATCTACACGTCAAATTTAAGCAAGCAGCATACTTGATGCTGGCAAAAGGCGGCTATGAATTGGGAGTAAACGCGAAAGAGCTTCCTACCACGCGACACACAAATTTCAGATGTCGCAAAGCACGAAATCATGCAGAAGGGTTGACAGCTTCTGTAACGTAGGTTTGCTCAAGTTCGCGCAGGCGAGCACCTAAATCTCAACTGATCCAGAGCGCAAGTCTCTGGCAAGGCGGCACGCGGTGGTAACCTGGACATGGACCAAGTTAACGTCGTAGCGGGTGCCAGCTCGCGTTTTCGGTCAACGAGATGCTGGCTGGTACCTCGCACGGACATGGCACCCTTGACCACGTGTGTATATATATATATATATATATATATATTGAGCACCTGCAAGGTTTTACTGCATTCCTGCTTTGATCACTCTGATATCTCCTCGCCCGACATTATCCTACAGCCGAAGCTATCAGACTTCGATGTGTCTGACCATCCCCAATCCTCGCCTGCTCGCAGTGGCAACGGCTGCACTTGTAGCGCTCTTTAACGAGATGCCACAATCAACTTCGAAATCTATGAGCAGCAACGCATGCAGCACGAACGCCACTGAGGCACCCCGAACCATTCCGCAATACTCCGCTTCGCCAGAAAAAAACGCCAGCACACTCCGAGAACACCTCCACGATTTAACGAAGTGCGATCCCCGCATCACGGTACCTCCACGCGTTGAACCCCGCGTTTTCTTGCACTCTGCGCAGTCGGCGTCGGTCCACACCGTTAACTCCCTAGGCCGCTATTGATACAAGTACTGCTACTCACGCCTGTCGCGGTTCTGGAAGTACGTCCCCAATGATGCATGGCTTCGCCATGCCCCTAGGGTCGGGGCCGACGTGGAACGCGCAAGCTCCCTGACTAAAAACCGCATATCCGAACGGTCCTGCGCTAGATTGTTTGCCCGGGCCGCTGAAGTTCGGCACATCTCAACTCCATGTTATCCGAAAGGTTATTCTCATGGCTGCTTTTCACCTAGCATCCCACATCTCGCCGCGCACTGTGCCGGGCCCAACTCGGCGACTAATATCCCAACATGCTTTGGCACGCATCACACCACGCACCACCCCGGCTGCATTCCACACTTCGGCTGAGAATCCTGATTGACTTCAAATATGATGGTTCTGGCCCGAGCGCGCCGCCGTAAACTTCGAAAGGCGCATCCATGTCTCCCCCGAACAACTCAAAATCAACGTCATAACCCAATGAAATAAAACCGCCCCCGCCTCCCCCCCCCGAGCCTTCAACGCGAGTTCTGGATCTAGCTAACCCCCTGACCCATCTGGAAGATTCAACCACCCACGGTGTCGGCAAGCTCCATAAACCCACGGGCGAGGCTGGATGTCCTGGGAAGCCCGGCGTATGAATCGAACGACAACATTGCACGCTCATCCACGGAATTCCCTCCTCCGCCCCTCCCCCTTTGCATCGCCGACCCCCCTGTCCTCGAGCACGTGGCCAGCGCCCAAATCCTGAGTCGCCCCGCGCAAGCATGGATGGATCCAGATAGGCCCCGAACTCCCCAAGGGCATTCGGCGAGAGGTACCGTAATCTGTTCTGGGACAAGTCGACAGAGGCCCATTGCCAATCTCGCTATGTTCGTACCAGACCTTATTAATTGTCTATCTTTCGCCCGACCCACCATGTAAAT